GGTGTTTATTCTCCGATTCTTATCATGAGATAATTGATCTGTTGATACAATAACATTTCGGGGTCAGCTCAAACATCAACCCTGCCTGTATAGAGTCTAAAGATCGTGGCACATCACTCCAGATATTGAAAGATGCGGGTATTCATGCAAACACGACATAAAAGAAATTGGAGTACGACCAGCCTGTATGCTCAAGGTAGCCTATAAATAATTTATTCTTCAAATCATGGTAATCGATGGGATTCATAAGACTGATATTTGTATTGTTTTAATATGATGTAGCGACTGTAGCCAGCAGTATAGGCCTTATATCAAGGTTAAGTTACCATCAATAAGATGAGGGTATTCGTGTTTTAATACGACATTAAAAAAAATGGAGTACGAACAGCCTGTATATGTTATTAAGGTAACATTATGGCCTCCTTTTCAAATCATGCTATGGATCTGATGAAGTTGTATTTTGAACAAGATCGGACTTTGTGATAGTTGCAGTATGATGTAACTGTAGGTCTTATTAAGTTAGAAGTTAACAAGAATAAGCATGATAGTAAAATATTCAGTTTTCAAACTTTTTATAAAAAGTACCCTTTTCCAGCCCACTATTTCCTATTCCCTACCATGTCTACTTAGTGCCAACCGTCCTCAAACGGACAGACGTGACACTCACGGTGACCTCTAAATTTACAAAACGGTGTCAGAGGCCTCAACAAGATTTGAACTTCAAGAGGCATGCAGTCTTTACACATGTTCAGTTTTTCCCGACAATTCACTACATCAAACCTAAACCTCATAACTCAGTCATGAGCTTATTTTGAATTCCAAAAGAAAGGGGAACAAAAATCTATTATTTAATTTCAAGGGTCATAACATCAAACGAAAGTACACGTACTATACAGTGGTAAAGAAAAATATGCAGTCATCAAAGTGAAAAGGATTAGAAATTTGAAATGCTTATAACAGAAATTAGAATTAGTGCGATTAGATTTGCCGAAGGCACTGTACGGGCCGCGTACGCAATCGTTTATTCCAATCAGCTAATTCACGTCATTGAGGTCGCAATAAGGAAAAAAGAAACATTTGTTGGGGCTGTAAACAATGGAGTGTTCTTAATGAATGAAATATATATATTTGATTTAAGTTTAATAGTCAAATAACACACGTACACACAAATGATGTGGTACAGGTTCAGAATAATCTAATTTGACACGTGAAGATGTACATTGGAGAAGCGCGAAACAAATTACCGAGTAATCCATCTGCCGTACGGATTTTCATCAAATAAGGATGTTTTTACGATTAATGTTGCTTTTGCGCCATCTGATAGATCGTACGAATCAGGTGGCAAATTGCGATCATCCTTCACATACACGATAAGCAATTCTCTCAAAGATGTATATTTATATATTTATTCATATTTAGACCTCGTTTACACACACGACTATCTGGAGTCATGGCCCCTTACATTAGCCCACTATTGACCCTCCACCTGCTCCTAATACCGTACTGCTATATCGTTCAAAAATTATCACGAAAACCGCGCAAATTCGATACTTAATTAATGTTACGCTGAGAACAAAATGAATACACTGTTTTACTTACCTTGCACGTTCGAACGATCAAAAGTTGTACGAGGCATTTTGAATTGCTTCCTTGTTCCTCAAATGCAATACTCAGAATGAATTTTTCTCAGTTATTTCTCGATTCTCCGCCCAAATCCCGGTTTTCCCCCTCTTTGTTGACACTCCAGTACACCAGCACGTGCGTTTCTGTCTACTATACAACTGTGCTCGGTTTGCATATACACTCTGGCACTTCCCCTTTTCCACCACTTATACGCGATGTGTAATTACAATGCGCTATTTCGGCGACATCCGTCCTTCTTCTTTTTGGTGTGTCTCTCTTTTCTCGCCACCACCACTTTGCGATATTCTTATCCCGCCTGGATGTGTAACAGAATATGATGATGGCCCTGATATGCTCCAAAGCGTTCATTGACAAGTATATTAAGTGTGTGTGTGTGTGGTGTGTGTGTGTATGATTTGTGTGCATGTAGCCTTGTCCGTGCACCCTGCCTATCGATAGCTTTACACCATGCTGTGTGTCGTCTGCTTCGCGAGGGCAACACGGAAGTAAACCGCCGTGGGGAATATTCCTTTCATTTCCGTATTCTTGAACATTTATGACGATTTGGTTCCTTATAAACCAGGGTTAAGTTCATGCAAAGACAAGACGTAGTCTGACTTTAGAGTCGTATGTCCTTCATAGAAATTACAGTTTTTATGTACATGTGCGTCCCAAAATAGAATTTGCCTAATCACAATCCCTGTTCAGAACTTCAGGTTAAATATTCAAAGAATGAATATGTTACTGAAGTAGTATTCAATAAAATTTGTTTCCATTACTGATCAAACTTTTACCTAAATTAGTATTGAATGAAATAGCCTTATAGACAGGATGACAGATTACTGATTATTATTCAATAGTTTGACTTTTGTTTATTGGTTGGTTTATTCATTTGTTTACTTCTTTGTTTATTTTTTTTCTTGCAAACCGAGTCAGTGGCGTAGTGAGGGAGCATGGACACCAAGGGGGGGGGGGGGGTGGGGGCGGGGGCGGGGAATCATCCTTAATTAGGGTTGAATATATGAATGAAAATTAGCGAGGCAATTAATTAAGGGAGGGTATAACTATAAGGGGGTGTCAAAGCGTCTTATTTTTCGTTTCATTTAACTCTCTCCCTGTTTTTTCTTTTCTTGACTCTTTCTGGGATTTTTAACCATTTATTCGGGGTTCTCGCCCCCTCCCCCAAAAAAATACGCCACTGAAGTGATTATTAGCTATGCATGGAATATCAAATTGCACTAGAGGTTTATATCACATTGTTAAATAGCTGAGAAGTAACGGAATTTATCATTTTGGCTGCTTGCCATTGTTTGCCTGACGATAGGCCTATATCCTAAATATTTTTTTTTCAACAATCAAAGATCAGTATTTAAAAAATGTAAAGGGAGAAACTAAAATATTGTGTCGTTTGCTTTGAATAATTGTTTGACAATGTATCCATGAACATTTGTCAATAATCAGAGGGAAATAGGGAAGCATAATGTTGATTTTCATTGAATATCAACAGTAATTATACCCATCATACGAATAATTTCAATATCAGATAACATTATAACTAAAGCAATGGATTAAGCAAGGCTTAAAATCTTGTTCCCATGACCTTATTGACCCATTGTTATGCTATTTTCTTTCGACAAGATTGTGTTCCAAAAAGCTGAATGGTAACTTTAAGATGAAAAAAAAAAAAAAATATTACCAGCAATAGCTAAAAATCTCATGCACATATACCCTTGCTTAAGTTAGTGCACTAGTTTTCGAGTTCATTAAGTTGATGTAACTTAATGAATGCACTATGAATCGCTTTAATAATTGTATTTGAATTGGTACCAATAATACCCCTTTCACACCAAAGAACCAACCTCACACTGAATCTATACCGACCGATTCTTGGTTATTCGTGGTAATGTTATTTTGTGATCGGTCTGGCTTCGGTTTGGTGTCGATCTTGTAGATGTGACTGACATATATAAACATGCGTTAGTGCCCCGGCCATACCTCAAAACCGTCTCCAGGTAATCGACAAAGTCCTGGATATGTGTATTAATTTTTGGTCTTTTGTCACTCCGGTGTTCGGCTGTCGGTGTGACTTGGGGTATTAGCGTGATTCGTCGTTTGCTATGGTCTGCAAAGGAGTACTCTCCAACTTTCAACATAATATAACAATTATGACAAATTCCAAGCTTTGACGGGCTAGCCTGCTTGTGAGTCTGTTTTCTTTGTTTTCCTTGAAATTGAGTACGAGATTCCCCCCCCCCCCCACACACACATCCGCGCTTTCATTCAGCGCTTTACTTACATATTAATATGATTATTTTCTATACTCACAAATAACTTTATTAAAACCTATTGAAAAGCCACTTAAGCCTCCAGGGTAGAGGGCAGTATTCTACATAGAGTCTCAGAGCCATTAATTAACAGACTTCAAGCATGGACCTACTTGCCCGAATTCACAAAGGAGGTTTGTCGACAAACCTTGGTTTTTGTGCGTCATATGACGCGCTTTTACAAACCAGGTTTAGTGCCCTTTTATGAGGCATTAATCCCCATTACTGTCAGTTATGACTTAAGGACGTATGTCCCCTAGTTGATTAGCATAGTAGCAACACATGCTTTAGCAGTCACCCAAAACAAACACTCACTAATTGTCATTCAATAAAATCTGAGAATGTATACTATTATCTAGATCTATTAGGAATAAATCATTGTCAAAATCATTCAATAAATTGGGGTAAAAATAATTTTTCCATCATTATGACCAACAGTGTAGTTACATGCATTATGTTATGTACTTGAGATATATGAATACTGTGTATTGAAAAGAATTTACATCAAACATGTATGTAGGAATCACAAATTCCGTAACAAATTATTATCAATATGGTTATCAGTATTAGTGTATTATTATCATCGCTATCATTATTATCATCATCAACATTTAAATAATTATTTGAGTTTCTTTTTCTTGACTTAAGTAACAAAAATAAAAGGAAAATATAAACACGGTATAAACCCGTAGGCGTAGCGTATTTGATGTTGTGACAATTGAAAAATTGTAATTTGATTAGGCTTTTCATATGTATTCCGTAATGAGGAATAGAAGACTATAAGTCAGATATTTAATTCTCTTAAACATGGTATTAGTGCATTCGAGTATATTCCATATTCTGATCTCATTATGGATAATCAACGCGAACGCTATCGCTTCTAACTATAACGGGTTGAATAATTGTGATTCGTGATTGGTCACACACGATGTGCTTGTTGACCAATCGTATTCTTTGTTGCGAACAAATAAAACAGAAATTAAGATTGAAGCGCGCGAGTCCCGGGCGCGAGTACTTCTTTGATTTCTTCTTCCAATGTAGTACAATCCGCATTGACGTTGGTGTTTTGACGTTACTAATCATGTAGTGCAGTCTTTGTAACTATGGCATTAGGGCGTGTCCGTCTTTCACAAGACTCCAAGAAACTATCAGTCTCTCCACTGGAGACTGGAATCTTCTGTAAAGCTTCGAAATGATGAAGGCACAAGTTCGATACGTTAGATGTGTCAGAAAAAATACGAGAGCTAACGTGGAATCGAAAACAGGGAAGAAAAAACAAACAGAGATAGACGAGGAATAAGATTGTTGCCTCATATAATACATTCTCTGAACAATCGCTCACCTTTTGAAATGATGATTTTGATGTGATATCTTCTCATGAAATTATTGTCTCCGTCATTTTGGGATGTTCATCATGATGAAGACTCATCAGTTATTGTTTGTTCTTCTCGGCTTTTTGTCTGCTCACCTTCACGTCGACGCATATGTGTTGGGTAAGATACTTTAATTTTTTTCTGTGATGAGAGAAATTTATCTCTAATCATGTTTCTTTCTATAAACATGATAGCAGGTCCTTAGAAAGAACAACTTTATGAGGCGACCCTGCGTGAATACAACCATATTTATTTTGTTATAAAGGGATGTCCACGAATCCTTATCCAGTTAGTTCATATACCATACAATCAACCGTAATGGAAGTGAATTTAATTGAACAAGATTGATCATAACTTTGTTTTATTTATTCAGTGAAAACATGGTCAGTTTATAACTGCTTTCTACAACAGCCATGACAGTTTACAAGGGTCTCCAAGGCCCACATCAGATTTTGTATGGCCCTATGTTGAGAAATATGGCTACTACCGATGGGAACATTTTCAAAAAGTCGGATACTCATAACGGTGGGTTGCATGCCGGATTTCATATTTTCCAACTATACAATCAGAAAGACTTTCGAGAAACAAACTCAATTCAATACCCCAAATAAATGCCTCGACACATCACATTGTGGCTATGTTATATACATGCATCGTAGTGATGTTTGCACAAAGCTATTGAAATTTGCTTGAGGTTGATTACCTTTTCAGACTCTTTGCTATCGGGTGCTACGTGCATTCACCAATTGAATGTAGAAAATGACGGAACTCACAAAGCTTTTTTTTCTTTTCTTCAATTGTCAATTCAAATGACAAATAATTATTTCATTCTATATTTACTGAGTAACATATCTTTGTACATTTAACCCTTTTTAGATGTATCAAGGCCTAGGATTAAGGTTATTTTCCGAACAAAGAAGCATTGTGTATTCACGGTATTTCCAATTTTTAAAACAGTTTCCTACACTGTCCTACTTGTAGCTACTTGCTCCCTCTATATATAAAACAAAGCATAATTGGTAACCATTGGTCCCCCATGATCATCCTTTTCTTATGTTAATTGAGAGCTGAGTTGATGAGATAGCCACCTGTCATTGACCACGCTGTGTGGTCTAATCCCCCCTGACCAAACTAGTACAGCCGGCCTTTAAAGGGAACTAATGAAAGGGAAACAAAATAAGCCATGTGATCAGTTGAAAACCATTAATTCAAATCACTGGATGCAGTGCAAAAATTGAATGCCAAAATTTATTTCTGAGTTTAATTTAGGCATATCTCATTTGAAAAGAGGAGTTAACGTTTCAAGCCATTAAATCATTGTGATTTATAGGTTTACTTGAAAAAAACGTTTCGAGGTTTTTCGCAATGTCAACCAACACATTTTCTTGAGCTGCATTATCTTCATGAACACGACCGCCGAGGGTTTTTTTTCCATCAAAATTTGAGAAGATAGTTATTATTTTATGTATAGCAGAAGGGTGCGAACATAATTTAGTCAAAATAGTTTATATTCTAAATGACTAAATAATAGAGATATACATTTCAATATGTTTCTTAGCGTCTTACCAGTTAAAACGTAAACCGACCAAAGCGCTAACATAATTAATACCCCAGTCACTAAATTCAGTGACGATTCTGCACTTTACGGCCAGCACACTCCCCATTCCACTGAAGAGCGTTGCAGTTAGTTGCCTTCTCACTTATTAATCTGTAACTGTCCCATAACTGACATGTATCATGTAGATGTAGTCACAAAATGCAGTATTCTTTCTTTTCTCTTTTTTGTGACTTCCAGATGAAGATTCCGGTCTTGAAGAACTCTTTACCATGTGCATGAACGGCTCTTGTGAAAGTGAAAGCTTTTCATGCACCAACCGTTGCGGTTCGTCGCTGCCCAACTCTCGAAGTTGCCAGTGTGACCACGAGTGCCTTATTCTCGGCGACTGCTGTCTTGATTACGAACACCTCTGCATCCCTCTAGCGATTCGCCATCACACGAGGATGGTGGCTTCGTCTTTGCCTGTACCTGATACTAGTCTGTCGTCCTCTGTGAGTCAGGAGGACGAAGGCAACAGAGCTGCGTCATCCATCGGGGACAATTTCTTGATCCCGCCGAGTGTCATCGTCGCTAACTATCCAGACTTCGACCTGTCTTTAAGGAGATCCCACATGCATTTAGGCGATAGGGCCTGTGTTAAGGTAGGAAATTATAAACACTTCGTATTCGTGAAAAAGTGCATGGATTCAGCCTACTCCGGAAGTCAACTGGAGCAGCAGTGCCAAATGGCTACCTCTACCTTGGATTTGTTAGCGTCACTCCCTGTGGCAGTGACCAATGATACGCACTACCGGAACATCTATTGTGCCTTTTGTAGTGGTATACAATACAAAGACATCTACTTCTGGAAAATAGGCTTCGACTGTGGATCTAACAGGATTCAGACAAATCACTACCAAGGAGATGTGTTAGATACGGTAGGTATCATGATGAAACTCTGTGACTACGATATCTTGCCAAACCTGGCTCCGGGTACACAGATGCCTCGATCATGTACACAGGAGCAGGGATCCGAGGATAGGTGCAGGTGCAGTCGCGGATCAGCACAAAATACTTGTCAACAATTAAGGGACACGTACAGCTATCCTGTAATTGTTCATGGAAATTGGTACAAGAATGTCCACTCAGCGTTCTGTAACGAAGAATTCAATGGTACATCGACCAACATAACGTGCTCCTTTGAAAACGAGATACGAGATCGAAACAGTAGACCATTTGCTCTACCGATGTTATTCACATTTTCTATGAAAGATGGAGCCCTACTCACGACCTCAGCCAACGACTTAGTACGGTCCTCGAATTCGTCGTCTTGTGACATCAATGAGTGGTTAGATCCATTTCTCAAAGAATGCCGGGCGATTTACTGCCCGAGCAACACATTTGTCATCAATGGGGTCTGTGTGAAAGACCTCAAACCAAGTAATCTTACTTTTGACCAATGCTCAACGAATAGCTCATTCTGGAAACAGAAATACGAAGAAAAATTGCAAGAAACGGACAAGTACCGGCAAAGAACATCCTGGCTCAAAATCCGAGCTGTTTCTAATCATGAGTCGGCGCTCAACCTCATAATGGTCACATTTCGCGTTACTCTGAAAAGCGAGAAACTTGATGTCAACATCAAGAATCTAAAGACAGTGTCTTCATCGACTAGAAACTCTACCCTCCATACCCAAAGCATTGTCTTCGAGCTACACCTGATCGACAACACATCAAACTTTACCAATATGCCATCTGCGATTCGACGGGCAGTACGACTTCTGGCTTACGACAGCGGTATAACAATGTCGGTACTTTCTGTCGAATGGAAAACCTACGAATCGCTGTCCGTTCATACTGATATATGCACCGAGTCTCAAGGAGATGTGTTCCTTCGAGTCTTATGGGCGAAAGACACCACCGACTATTCGGACGATGAGTACGACGAATTATTACTAAACGAAGACATGTTTAATGAGTATCAGCCCAAGAAATTGACCATCTACACGGATAACAACAAGGAATGGTCAAGATTTAATCTCCATTGTTGCAGTAGCCCATTGATGTGCAGGCAGATTTCTTTTAATTCCTCGGAGTTTGACTGGGATAATGTACTCAACGGTACACTTCTACATAAAGCGAGTGGCATAGTCATTCCATCCGATATGTTCTCACTAGATGGGAATGGATTTGTCCGGGTATGTGAGGATATGTTTGGTAATCAAAATATCACGAACAAACTCAAAGGCCACATCCTCAACAGTCAGACGTACGTGACGCTTGTTGGTAACGCCATATCCATCATCTCATTACTAGCCACATTAGTCACCATGTGTACCTTTCCAGAACTCCAGAACCTACCTGGCAAAATCATATCTTGCTTGAGCATCTCGCTTCTGCTGGCAAACATCTTTCTGTTGATAAGTTACCCGTCATCGTCCGAATGGCTCTGCTTGTTGTTCGGTGTTTCCCTTCACTATATTTGGCTCAGTGTGTTTTTCTGGGCCAACGCTCTTGCCATAGACATGACCCGGACATTCCGCGTCAACTCCAAAAGGATGGTCTTCAGGATCAAGGGCAACGTCCAATTCATAATCTACTCCTTGTACGCATGGTTTTCACCCGCCATCATCGTCACTATCGGTGTCCTCATACATTTCTTGTCGGAGCGAAGGATCTACAATACTGTGGGTACATGTTGGCTCATTGCCGGTCAGCCCATTATAACTCTATTTCTATTACCTTTCACCTTCTTCATGGTTGTCAACACGGCGCTCTTTATCGTGGTTCTGGTTAGTATCAGCAAGACCAAGGATGGAATGGACAATGTAACAGAATCATCCATCAACATCCAGCCCAGAGCAATCGCCTGGCTTGCTATTAAGGTAAGATAAACCTGTTCGTAGTTTATAGCATTTACAGACGATCCCAAATATTCTCAGAGGTTTTGAACATATTCCTAAATGATGAAGATGCTTCATAAGAATTTTGTTTTCTATTCTGGAAAGACTATTTCCACCTGTGTATCATGAATGCACCGTCGGTGCATAATAATAATATTTAATAATATTTAGCTTTTATATAGCGCTTAATACAAATGTCTCTAAGCGCTTTACAAATATACTATTACCCCGGCCATTAGATTCAGTGCTTGCCCGCACACACTGTGTGCACAATCTCCTCATAGCCTCACAATGATTACATAAATAACGTCCATGAGCACCTTTCCAGTTTTCACATTTTTATTCAAAGGTTTTTTTAAGAACTAGTTCAACAGATGATGATGTAGCAGTAAACACGGTATAGGCCCTTGTTCATGATTTTAAGCAAACTTTGCAACTATCTCACGTTTCCTGATCTCATTTTCTACATATATGAGAACATAACATTGAATAGACACGTAGTGACTCTCGAAACACAGTGTTTCGTTAGGCTTACCAAATCAACACTTTTGGCGATTGACCTGAAGTGTACATTATAGTGAAATATAGTTATAAGACAATTTTTTGTATTTTGTTGTTGCAGCTCTCATTCACGTTGGGAATCACATGGGCCCTTGGTTTGGTCGCTGCTATGGCAGGCAATCAAATCATCTGGTACATTTTCAACGTCGTCAACTCCTTGTCTGGACTCGGTGTCTCACTCTCCATTGTTGGAAATCAGAAGGTAGGTGAATCATCGTCTCCTCACTTCGTCATCACCAAAATATTCGGCATTGCTCGTTTTTTTTTCCTTCTTCTGGCAGCTTCAAATCTCTCCATAGTCTGCCCTAAAAGGATTTAAGTGTATAAAAACACTTTGAAAAGACCAGGGGGTGTTTCACAAAGATCTTGAGATGAACTTATCTCTAAGTGGAACTTAACAGTTATGGAAGCTGTTAGCATCCTTGAAAACATTTTATAAAAGTTATTTTAAAAGGCATAAAATGTTGATTCAAATCATTCAAATTTTCTATTTTCAAGAAAATTTCATGTTCTTGATGTGGAATTTATGAAAAGTCTAAAATACTTGAATTTCTGCTTTTGAATATATTTCATTTTAATGACGGTCGCATCCTACTGGGTACCCATTTAACACCTTGGGTGGAGAGTAGCAAGTGCAGGTTAATATCTTGCCAAAGGATATCAGTGCCGTGTCGAGATTCAAACCTTCGACCTTCACATCTCCAGTCAAGTGCCTTAAACCGCTCGACCACGACATTCCCACTTGATAAGAATGCTTACTATCCTCGTCTGTCTATTTTCTTCATATCCAGGTTCTTCGGCTGTGGCAAACGAAGATGAAACGCTGCAGAGGCACAAACGTTGAGGGTGCCACAGAAAAGAAAAGTACCAATGTGGACAAAGCAGCGTCTGAGAGAAGAAAGAGTACGCCCAGCGACAGTTCAAAACAGATTCTCAACGATAGTGAAATCTAAGCGTATAACAAGCCTGAAACAAAGTATTCCACTACATTCCAGTTTCTACTAAAATCCTCTTTATATATAGTCAAGCCAAGTACTATAAACATAGAGAAACAAAAATGGATCTCCTTCATTTTTTGCTTTTAAATTTGAAGTGAATATTCATAGAGCAAAGGCAAGTGAAAGCTCTCAAATACGTGAGAATTGAATACATAACTGGGCTGCATTCCTTTCCGTGGAACAAAGATGTTCCGATCAAATGATAATTTCACGACACAGCTAGTCCCGACCTACCAGTAAAAAAAACATTGCTAACCAAAATACATATGATGGCCGTTACAAATTTAAAAGGAGGAGCCGTTTGCAAAAAGTGGCGGTTCTATGGATTTTTTTATTTTTGGATTTTTGGATTTTTTTATTTTATTTATTTATTTATTTATTTATTTATTTTTTTTTTGGGGGGGGGGGGGGTGGGGGTGGGGGGGGGGGAGCTTAAGCCAATGTAGAAAATTGATGCAAGAACTCCCGAGGCGACCCTATGCTCTACCCCCCCCCCCCCCTTCCCTAAAAAAAATCTTCTAGAATCGCCTCTGTTCACTTTAGGCCAGCCAACCTGTGTTCTAACTTTGCCTATAAATGTTAATAAATGAAGAAACAAATTAAGACTTTCACATCGAACAAAAGGAAAATCAATATCAGGCAATTTTAGTGGCTTTGTTTATTGTGCGAACGCATCAATGAAGGCAGAACATGTTTTATGCAGACAATACGTTTGTACCTTAATACTACTCTTCAGCCAATAATTTGAGGCTCCTTGCGTTTGTGTTTTGTTCCTTCTCATAACATTCTTTGTCTTCAGAACGTTTTATTTAATTTCTTTGATGTTCAATGTTATACTTTAAACATAATTATCAATATTATTATGCGATATCTTCAAAACGCACATTTGCTTTTGGCTCCAAATAGGCATTTCTCATTTGGCTCCAATAAGTATTTCTCATATTGAGATTAGCATTCTTTTATGAATGTTAGAGTTGATTTCTTTGATGTTCAATGTTATACTTTAAACATAATTATCAATATTATTATGCGATATCTTCAAAACGCACATTTGCTTTTGGCTCCAAATAGGCATTTCTCATTTGGCTCCAATAAGTATTTCTCATATTGAGATTAGCATTCTTTTATGAATGTTAGAGTTGATTTCTTTGATGTTCAATGTTATACTTTAAACATAATTATCAATATTATTATGCGATATCTTCAAAACGCACATTTGCTTTTGGCTCCAAATAGGCATTTCTCATTTGGCTCCAATAAGTATTTCTCATATTGAGATTAGCATTCTTTTATGAATGTTAGAGTTGAGAGCAATATTACTGAATTGAATTAAAAATGTTTATTGAGAAACAACCAATATCGCTGCCACAATCTTATGAAGTTTAAGTAACAATAGAACACACATGAATTTTATTTCAAATTATTCTATTTAACTTGTATTAACAAAGATTGATTTGTATATAAATATATCAGGATATCTTCATTAAATGTTTGATAGTTTGTGATGTGAGTAATAATACCGTCAAGGAATACACTAGTAAATTAGTTTGCAAGTTTGTACATTAGTCAATTAGACAATACATCTAATATGAATAACTGTGTCGGTGTTAATGTCAGTTGGTCAGTAAACGAATAAGCGTTTGATAGTCAGTCAGTATGTAAGTCACTGCATAACTTAGTAGATTTTGTAGTCAGCTTGTTTGCTAGTGAATTTAAATACATGAACATATAATTTATGTGTGTGTTTCAGTCGCATTAATGTAAAGCAGCACACATTTTCTCGGATATGGAAAATTTAAATTAAAGAATAAGAGCTGTTGACCAGTTCAAGAAACTACTCAAGTCATATCTATTCTGCTAGAAATTACTAAATCGACAGCCTACATATTATACTTGACTGATCTCTGAGACGTGTCTAACTTTTGTTTTTAAGTGGCCCAAACATTGTGGAGCGTGTGTGCAGCGCTTTGTAACTGCAAGGAAAAGGCGCTTTATCAAATATCTTTTGGATTATTATTTTAAAACACTGATTACATTTATTTATGTGCATCTTGCTAACCTTCCTTTATTGCGTGAACAAGGCTGCATTTCCCCTTCAAACTAGAATAATCATGTTATTTCTTACTAACTTCATTGAGTTATTCATTTGGGTCAATCAACAAGTTAATTAACAATCAGTCAATCAATCAATTGATCAAGCAACTACTTAAGCAATCAGTCAATCAACAAGTTAGGTAACAATCAATCAATCAATCAACCAATCAATCAATCAATAATGATCAAGCAACCAATCAATCAATTCTCGCTACCCTAAATAGGTACGAAAATCTCGAAATTCGCGAGACGAGGTAATTTTCACTCTCTCGGGTCGTCACTACAACTTCCGGTATAGAGTCCCATCCCGCTGGCGCTAGCGCCTGTGTTCGCTGTGCAGAGTTTTCACGCACGCTAAAATCGATGCCAATCAGTGTAATTTGTACAGATTATAATATGCAATGGAAAGCTTCGGGCAGAATTAGTGACTTTAGCACAAAAGGCCGTTAAACTCTACCGTGAAAGAGAGGGTTGTGATCACGAACGCCTGCACAGGAAGCTGTAATGTCGAAAAGCTATCCCATAATGCAATGCGCGTTTTCAGGATTTTCCCCGGATCTCGGCAGAATCGCTATTTGGGGTAGCGAGAATTGATCAAGCAACCACTTAAGCAATCAGTCAATCAACAAGTAAAGTAACAATCAATCAATCAATCAATCAATCAATAATGATCAAGCAACCAATCAATCAGTTGATCAAGCAACTACTTAAGCAATCAGTCAATCAACAAGTTAGGTAACAATCAATCAATCAATCAACCAATCAATCAATCAATCAATAATGATCAAGCAACCAATCAATCAATTGATCAAGCAACCACTTAAGCAATCAGTCAATCAACAAGTAAGGTAACAATCAATCATTAATCAATCAATCAATCAATCAATCAATTTATTAAGCAACTACTTAAGCAATCAGTCAATCAAAAAGTTAGATAACAATCAATCAGCCAAACAATCAATCAATCAATCAGTCAGTCAATCAATTTATTAAGCAACTACTTAAGCAATCAGTCAATCAACAAGTTAGATAACAATCAATCAATCAATTAGCCAAACAATCAATTGATCAATTGATCAAGCAACTATGTAAGCAATCAGTCAATCAACAAGTTAGGTAACAATCAATCAATCAGCCAAACAATCAATTGATCATTATTGACCAATCAATTAATCAATCAATCAATCGATTGATCAAGCAATTAATTAAAAACGAATGAAGACAATTGAAACAAAGCAAAATTGTACTCTACGATCATTAAGTTTAATTCTGACACGCACTTTCAAACATACTAGGGTGGATGCGAATTGTTTACTCACAAAAAATAAATACATTGTTTGCAGATTTAGTGAAATCATTGACGAGTGTATTACGATTCAATTAACACAAACGAGCAAACTAAGGGCAAAAAAAGTCATTATGGCTTTAGACTTTTTAGAAATGGGTAATGAACTATTATCAGAATTTTAAGTAACAGATTAATGAGAATGAAAATAAAATAGGCTGTCTTTGCAAAGTACATAAGAGATTGGAACAGTATCTCTGATCGCTTTCAGATATTACTAAAGGTTATATGAGAGCAAATTTGAATAAAATGGTGTATAAGGTGGATAAATGAAGGAAAAACAGTATATTTTAAGCTAAATATGTTTTAAGAAAACACAGCACTTTGGTTTTTTTAACATAGCATGAAGCCAATAAGCACAACAAAATAAATAAATGAATAAAAGGCTCACTTTTTGCGATTCAACAATAAAAGCATGGAATCATTCTTTAGTAAAATGTTCGTGCATACCTGGAAACCCGTATCTTTACTTGTGATTAGCGTCTGTACTATTCACATCTTAGATGTGAATGAAGAAAATCAGCGTAATACATGAAGAATATAAAACTACGTCGTCAAGAAGGAGTATTCTTTTCTTATATAAAATGTGGTGAATGGTCCTCCATAACCAAACTCGTACACACACAAATAAAAAAGAAGAAAACCGAATTCGGAATTACAATAAACCATAGAGATTTATAGCTATATGATTAATACACCAGAAATGTACAGGGGAGGGGGGAGAAATCAGTATTGTATCTATCAATACCACTCCTCATGTCATGCCTAATTATGGAACATGATACATATATTGTCAATAATAAAAGGAGTATTTGTAATACTTCATTATGGAAACAATTCTGAATTTTCATATATAATTTTGATATTGATATATATATACTCCATTCATCCAAGATAAATAAAATTTAAAAAAACAATAATCCCATACTCATTTGACCCGGATTAGACATCCGCCTGTTAGAATGTATTTGCTTCTAAACTGAATATACCTTCTTTTAGTTTTCTATTTACAACAATATAATTTTTTTTTGTGTCCACAATTATCTTAGTACTATAGATAAATCACTCCATAATTTATTCACATTCACAAAGATGTATTTACAGAAATAAGTTGAAAGAAAGAAAGTGAAAGTATGAAAAGAATGAATACAGATAGTCAATTTCAACAGATACTGAAATTATACATCGCTCATAGCTCATCATATTCCAATAAAAACAATACAGAGCGGATACTTCTCAGTGACCATAGATAGGTTTGCTTCAGCTCTGCAAATCATTGCACATTATTATGGACAAACAACAGATGTTGATGCAAAAACCATAACCCAGGTTTAATAGAGAATTCATGTACAATGGCTAAACAACTTTCTTCTCCATCTTTGCTGCCCCACAATTAATTCAAGCACACAGTTTTTATTCCTAATTTACGCAGCATTTGGCTTCTCCATGAGCACAGAAAATTGAAAAATTCACAAAAACAAGTTGCCAAAAATACATCCCTCAGTATCCTTGACTCGTATAAGAAGCTATGAGCAACAGCTTGAAGCAGTGGGCTTAAAACCACACAAGTTACAGGGAGAAAGCAGAATTTCTATTTTTAAACAGAGAAGAAGATTATAAAAGGTTAATTAGGATATAATCAGGTATAGTGTTCTTATATGTCATCTTTTCTCTGTCCACAGAAAAAGGATCTACATGTATATTCTGAGAAATATAATTTCAGAATATTCATTCAAATACACATTACAATATGTATGAATGATGCATTTATTGTGTCTTAAAATTTTTTGTCTGAATTTTTAAGACAACTCGACGTCCATTTTATATGAAACAATCAATTTACATAGGTTTATTTATGGGCTTACAGAAGGGCCACAGAAGGAATGAAAGAGAGAGAAAGAGAGAAAGAGAGAGAGAGAGAGAGAGAGAGAGAGAGAGAGAGAATATTGAAAAGGCAGATAAAAAGAAAAGAGAGAGAGAGAAATAGTTCATGCGAGGTGTTTATTCTTAACAGATCAGAACAAATTGAACAAGGACACAGGTTCACAGATAGATACACAAATAAAATAAACAAATAAAGATGATGGGTGGAGAGTGAGTAAAAGACAGTATGTGAGTATCTGTTGATTGATGTGTGATATAGACAGAGACAAAAAGAAGAGAGAGAGAGAGAGAGAGAGAGAGAGAGAGGTAGAGAGAGAGAGAGAGAGAGAGTGAGAGAGAAAGAGAGAGATAGAGATAAGAGGGAAAACGTTTGAAGGAAAGAGAAAGAATAAAACTGATCAGAAAAATTATCCTATACTAATCAAAATATATCTTATTTACATCATATTTTCTCTCTATTTTCTTCACCATTTCATTCCTCGGACACAGAATGATAGTTGGTGACAGTTGCAGCTACTGGCTGGCAAAAACTAGAAATTAAGTACAATTAAGAAAGCTCAACCAGCTTCTAAAAGCAATGCCTTCTACAAGAATAACTTGTTTTATGTAATTTATGTATTTTACATCTGATAATAATGTATTTCTTTTGTATTACTTCTGATGTTAATACATATATATATATATATATATATATATATATATATATATATATATATATATATATATGATACATGTATGATAAGTACATGACAAGATAGAGTATAATTTGGTTGTAAAAGATGACAGCAGCGAATGGAATACTGAAGTGTAAACAGCAATTTTGTTGGATACCGTACCTCTCTGCAAGTCATACTAATTTGACCGATATTTGACACACAACCATTGAATTGGTTGACACTATGTGTCTTGTCACATGTCAATTTGCTTCAGAACGCTTAATGATATATTTATTACAGGAGGTTATCTAAGTACACCTCTCAACACTAACTTCAATTTAGACCCTTACCAAACCATCTGAAATTTGGTAACCGAAAAACAAGCTAAAGTATAACGAACGATAGACCACAACTACATTAAGCATTATACCATTGTTTGTATAATTCTACATAAATAAATACTCCTCAACACTGAACTTATACATTGCACATATACTGGTGGCTAAGACAAATGATAAAACAAAACCATAAAATAAAACTTTAGCCTATAGAGGGTACGCATGCAGAGGCACCTAAATTTTTGAAGCACTAATCGACTTGGTATTCTTTGAAGACTTCATCTATTAAATGCAGTGATGCAGGAAAACACAATTTTTAAAACAATCACAAATTTCTCAAGTGCACCTAAGAAACATAACACAAAAAATGGCACGAGAATGTCGCTTTTGCTTTCCTCCTACGATCCATAGGAAAAGATCAACTGCATACAGTGTAATTTAAGAACTTTCATCTTTCCAAACCTTTGTGAATTTTGCCTATTTTGTCCATTATTACTAAAAACAAACTTTAATCACATGTCTACTGAATTGCTTGTTTGCTTAATTGATTTCCCTGATATCAACAACAAATCTGAACAACAATTATTTCTATTTCTTTTCTTGACCCCTAAAGGGTCTCTATCAAATAAATGTGAATATAACAAAATAAACCCCCTTTTTGGATACTTTAAACAGGAAACCTTAAATTTGTATATGGTAAGGGACCCAAAGCAAGGTAACATTGATAACATTGGAAGTGCCTACGTGGCAGTGTTGAATCCTTTGCCAACTCATTGCCAGCCGCCTCCCTGGAAGATAGTAGGTAATGCTACGTAAGATTTAACTCTTTGACAACCGAATTCCTCCATTCCCATAGGCTTAATACAGAGATTAGCTGTTTCTTGTAGGTGATTGGTTGTAAACAGAATGTAAACACTCTTGTCAGATAATGGCAATGGTGCTTTTTCGCTAACATCTCTCTTGCTAGAATTCCTTAGCCATGACTTGATTGTAAGAAGTAGGCCGATCAACGCGGCTAATTTTGCTTTGCAACTCGTCAACTTGAGCGCAGAGTTTGTGGTTGTTGCTACTGCCTTCATACATACAAATGTGTGGTGTACCACAACAGGAAATGCTTAGAGAGCAGTCCTTCAAGACGGCATGATGCAATAGAAGGCTTAGAAGTATCTTTTCTTTCCAGCGTCATTTAAGAAAATTAAACCCTTCTTCCTCTCGATTCTGTTCTAAATTTAACCTAACAGGGACTTTATGTCATCATTGTCATATACAGGAAGAGAAATAAATTAATGAATACATTCCCTTGATACAAAACATGCCCTTTTTTAACAAAAGTCAATGACGAATAAAAGGTTATAAACAAGAAATGTTAATATTCCCAAATCAACCGGGCAATCTATATTCATAATTTTGGATCACCATGAATTCTAATTTTTATATCTGTAGAACTGGGTTCAAATGAATATGCATCTAATTGCAGTGGATTTCTTGTTCAGATAATTCCATTCTAAACCTTGAAATTACAAAATGATGATAGAAACCTGTAAAGATCACTTATGTCTACAAAATAAATCCCCACAGAACCACAGCTGGAGTATACAGGAGAATTTACCAATCAATACGTGTGAGGTATATCTTTCCATCTTCATAAAAAATTAATAAAAAATTATGAAACCAAATAATTGATAGTGATGTTTGACAATCCAGCTTATTAAAGAGCATGGAATGGGAACAAAATTGCACATAACCCAGTGATCCCACAATGTTATCTAGGAACTTTGGGCAGATACATCTAACTTGCAGTGGCATAGCAAAAAATTTGTTAAAACGTCATGAGTCAAGCGGGGACCTCACAGCCCCACACACCCCCTCAACAACAAAAAAAGGAAGAAAGAAAAAAAAGTGAAATATTTATTCATGACATATCTGTACGGTCGGACAGTGCCACGTTTTTGTCTGCTGAAGACCAAAATGGTATTAGGTCACATTATTAACACAACATGAATGATGCCCTTACAGCTCTAACCTGGAAATGGAATGATAATCCAGGTGACTTCCAAACAGGAGGAAGATGCTTAACACCGAGATCAACCGCCCTCCTTGCCCCCCTACCCCACCCCATCCCTCCCTGATCCTGCCCCCTAGGTAGGTATGCCACTGCAATGGTGTATCTGGGCTTGGTTCCTCAGCAATGTCATCGATCATTACTGCTTCTCTTCTCCTTCTGCCTCTCCTCCTTGCTTGGGGTAAGCATCCTCCGCAAAGAGGGGGTTCTTCACCTGCATCTCACCGGTCTGGAAGACGAACAAAGAAAATGAAGACGTACCCAATTTAGATTTTTTTTAATTTAATTTTTTTTTTTTTTTTTTTTTTAATTTTATTTATTTTGTTTAAATATTTTTTAATTTTTTGTTTTCATCTTTATATAGAGTATCATGTTTAGCTACATAAACGTTACGAAATATTGTTAAAAACATTAAAATTGGCTGGTTTACAACAGGGCTCTGTTTTAAAAACAACATAAAAATGACAATGAACAATATTATATATATATAGAAATGACAGGAGAAATGACAGAATGAAGGCCATAAGGAAGAAAGGTAATACTGACTTCCTGTTATGACACTGCAATCTACAGATAATTGGTCTGAAAAACGCTTTAATTGCACCAGTTTCTCACAAAAACGTTTGTTATGGTGACAGCCAAAGTAGCCACATATGCCCACGTCAGTTTTTCTTTTTTATTTTGCACTCATATCTTCAAAACAATTAATATACAACGAGAAAACGAAAATGTCGATAAAATATCCTTTCTTGGTAAGCTATATGTTTTCTGTGTTCTGTTATTGTTTTCATTTTGAAATTGTGAACAGTCATTCTTTTGGAAAAGCCTGGATAAAGAGGTTCCAAGAGAAGAGGATAAAAAAATCATCATGAGAAATGGAGGAAGAAGAGGTCAAAGTTCACTTACCGGAGCAAGTCCAGGGCATTCATAGACAGTCAGGTCGCCATCTTCATTCTCTTCTTCTGAATCGTAATCCGAGGCATCCCGTGCAACATCTCCTTTCTCACGCCTGAATGAGGGAGAGTTCATAAGAATCAAACATTAACAAAAATCAGATATGTGGAACAATACCAGTATTCTAGTACAACAATTGTTTATTGTCATGAAGTATTGGCATCACCTGTGCCTGGGAGGGAAAAAGTGAAATGAATTACTGTGACCTTTAGGTCTATCCTTGTGGTATAACTGATTGGGATGTGCATGTGTACCATAGTGCAGCGGGTTTTTAATGTGCAAACATGGTGACTTTCCTTTACAAGGGGCCTCGATTTAACATCCTATCCAAGGGATAGAGTGGGGGCATCTTAAGTCATCCACCTGGGTTACATTCAAACCCCAAAACTTTGGTATGATGGCACACACTTTACTGAATGTGCCATCTCCTTTATTCTACCAATAACTATATTGCTTCCACCAGAGGAAGCCTTTCGTGACATCAATTTGGCTTTAGTAAGGGCAGAGAAATGAGAGAAATAGGCCAATGAGCATTTGCGGACAAGAAGTATGAAGTATCAACAAAGTTATTAACTTTGAAAATGAGACCCTCTCATTTTGGCAATATCTGAAAAATGACCCCCTTATTTCAATGAGTAAGTGAAAATACCGCTAAGTGAACTATGAATAAATGGATAAAAACAAAAGGTCAAACATGATGATCAAAACAACAATGGAAACAAATATATAATTAATGAGGAAAGGGAAATGTTAAGTATCCAATAAATTAGGATGAGGAAGACCAGAAGCATACTATATTGGCTAAGAATTTATATTATTTCACAGATGAATAACCTTCTGGCTCCATGCAGGTGATACATTTTTCATCTTGCTCATCTCATTATACGTCAGATACTTCTTTAATCTCTGCAATCTACATTTCCAATCCCCCTTTTTTTTAAAACCCTTCCTCTCATTACCTTGTGTAAATGGGTATTGAAATCATATTTTCTGTCATATCATTTTACAGATTTAATAACCTCCTGGCTCCATGCAGGTGATACACTTTTTTATCTTCCTGATTTTAATTTGTCAGCCATTCTTTAATCTCTACAATCTACATTTCCAATCCCTTTCCTTTTACCATTCCTCTCATCATAATATTTCATCTCGTGTAAATGTATAGGTGTCGTGGACGAGTGGATATGTCGCCGTACTGTCGATCACAAGGTCCGCGGTTCGAATCCTGCCGCGGCACTAATGTCCTTTGGCAGGACATTTGCCACACAGGCGAAGTAAATAGGGACCGGGAGGAAGGAATTCCTTGAATCGGTAGCCTAGCAGAGCCGGGGTAATATTGGAGCGCTTTGAGCACCTTACAGGGTGGATATGTGCGCTATATTAATATCCAATATTATTATATTATTATTATTATTAAATGGGGAAATTATATATTCTATAATACGTACTTCTCCATGGCGATCATCTGTTGTTTCTGATGTTGGTAGTGATACATCTGGGCACTCTGGGCAAGTTTTCTGTCCCCATTCTAACAAGGACAAAAAAAGAAAAAAGCTTTAAAAAAACGATCAGAGAAAATGGTAAACTACATGTATTCCATGGTAACAGAATGACGACAAAATGCTATTTCTCAACGTTTAAAAGTGCTTATAAGAAACATAGAATTACAAAACCAAAAAAGTTTGATGAGGATGAAACAGACATGAGTTGAGCAGGAGTCCATGAAAGATTTCATCATTCTAACAAGCTGGCATAATATTTGTTGTAATGATCCACAATAATTTTACATGAATTAAAGGTCACAAAATATTCACCTTTCATCTTTAATAACAGAGACTCAGAAAAAAATTGTTTTTCTTTTGATTCTTACAGATTTCGGTAGTCTTAATTACATGATTGCAATTCAGTATGAGTGAATGAATCAAATGCATCTATTTAAACAAAGCATATGCTGAGGTTGGGGTAAATTATACTCTACTTCAATGATTGCAATGAGATCTAACTTGCACTGAGTTTTAGTGAAGTGTACTTGTTTACTTAAAATGCATGGAGTCAATGATGCTTCAACCAATCATGGCAACTATTTGACCGAACTCTAATGAGTAAAAAGTTTATATTAAAGTAACAGTGATAGTTCGATACTTAAAAAGGGGCAAATCCAGGAATCTGTAAAAGGAAAGGAGTGCAAAATTTTTCTGGCATGCCCCCTCCCCCCCCAAAAAAAAAAAAATCTCCCCAAAGCCTGATTTGTCAGGTCTTTTTGTGTCTAAATTTGAAAAGGGGGGCATCCTTTTCTTATGTGTGTACTAATGGTAAACCTAAAGGTTTTATTGAAGGGAAGGGGGTGGGAAGGGGTGGAAAGGGGGGGGGGGGGTGAAGTTGGTTTTGCCCCCCCCTACTCCATCTGACAGTGTACTTACATTCATGGAAGATGTGACCTGTGCGCCTGGGCCTGTAACACCATAGGCTGGGTAGTCGGCTTCGTTCTGGGCCTTGGACGTCGTCTGAATTCTAAAAACAGAGAAAGAGAAAGAGAGAGAGAGAGATAGGGCAAATTGGTTATTCCTTGCAAACTACTTTTTTCAAGATCTATTTTCATTATGGTTATTAATACTTAATATATATTCAATTAGTTGTACATTTAATTGTTTCACAAAAATAGAGAGATCATCAAGATTAATATATAGTCAAACCTGCTTTAGCAACCACCTGTCTACAAAGACCACATTTTTTGTTTCCCTTGAAAATGGTTTCTCATTGAAACATGTACTAAAGGAACCTGTCTACAAAGACCACTTTTTGTGTTTCCCTTGGGTGGTCGCTATAGACAGGTATGATTGTATATGTTCATGTAATACAAAGTGATCTAGGAGAAAAAAAAGTAGAATCAGAACTAAAAGATGTACAGAAATTAAAACTGAAATTTGATCAAGGTAGTTTTATCAAGAGAGCTAGAGAGAGGAAATAAAGAGAATCAATCAACTAATTTGAAAAGGTAATAGAGAAAACAAACAAGAAGAGGGAATGTGATTCAGAAAACAAAGACCTAGCAAAATCATTGAAGTGATCGAGGATGAAAAATGGAATCATGTAACATAGCAAAAAAGAAGGAAGAGAGAATGTTCAAGGCTAAGGTCAATCTTCAATCAATAAAGTCACGTATTCGGAGGGGAAAATCAATCACATGTAAATCCTTCACAGGGCGAGGGGGGTACACCGGCCGAGGGCATCAATACCTCATTAGTGGAGGGGAGCTAACGATGCTGGAATGCTCTTCTTCTTGCGACGCAATAAATTAGTCACGAATTGGTGATTCACAAGGGAGCGGTAAAGCCTGTGTGATGTGTGGCAATGCTAAAAAAGTCATGTATATTTTTCAGCACCATCTTTGTTTTCCTGGAATCACAGATACAGTAGCTATCTGTAGTGATATGTGATACCAATATATCATTTGTTTGGAGCCAGAAGGGCTTTAATGCTTTGTAAAGTATGTAAGGTAATGCCTTTCTGAATCTGAACATATATTGTGATCTGAATCCTGAAAGGCAATGTTCCCTGTAGAATCTTGTAAAATTCTGTCATATATTAGATATAAAGGCAATATCTACAGATTTATCATTCTTGATTGAACATCTGAAGAAAAAAATATGTCATATCTTCTATTATCTCTCCAAACTATGAAATTGTAGATTTTGATTCAAGTACATTTAGATTAGTTACTCAATCACATAATCATCAGTAGGATTTTGATAATTTCGTTTTTTTCTTTCAAATCCTGGCTAGATATGATCAATTGCAAAGCTGCCTATCTAAAGACGCATACAACATGCCAAGGAAAATATAAAATGTCCTCACAAAAAACATAATAAATGTACCGGTACCCAGAAATATCATTATCACAACTGCGAAAGGAAATACAATGTTCATTTTCACCACCACAGCCCACAATCCAATCTAAATTCGCCCCGAAGTGCAAACCACAACCGCAAAAATGGCTATGGCTTTCAGACGATGCACATCTCATGGACATGAATGCACACGTTAGTCACACAACTTGGCAAATTGGATGTCTTCACTGAGAACGTTACACGGTGGATGCGCATCGGTCTCGTTAGAACATTCAGACCGGAGAATGCGCATGTAAATAAGTGCTCTCAAGGGTACGCAACCGTGGTGGTAGAGATCTTGCTAGATTATACACGTGCAATCTCTCGAATATCACCAAATTGTCACACCACAGAGGAAGCAATTTCTTTCTTGATCACATGCAAAAACACCTGATTTTCACAAAACAGCTAGAAGCAAGGAAAGTCAATTGTTGTGCATTTTGCATTTTGTCTGGTAAAACTTGGATAGGTGTAAACTCTATATTTGAACAGTATATTAGTAACTGCCTTTCTTTAATTTATAGAAATTTGTTGACTTTAATTTTATGATGCTTATTGTCTGTACAAAGCCAGAAGAGTGTAAACTCTGTGTTAAAGCCCCACTGCACTACTTATAGTTACTTGCGCCCTCTATAAAGCCTCATCGGTTACCATTTGTCCCCCATGGTCCCCTTTTTCTTCTGTTAATTAAGAGCTGATTTGATGAGATAACCACCTGTCAGTGACCATGCAGGGAGGTCTAAACCCTCCTGGCCAAACTAGTGCAGATAGGCTTTAATGTATAAGAGTTTAACGCCCTTCTGGCTTCTCACAGACGATATGACCTATGACCTTAGCAAATGTTCTTTGTCATTTATTACGTTGGAATTTGAAGCTTTGAAAAACTTGTTCATCTTTACAAATTTATTCACTGCTATTGTGTATCGTACAAAACAATTTTCAAATCTTCGAGGTATGAAATAAGAATCTATTCACAAAGTCGCTAAAAATTACTATACAAACAGCTTTGAGAATATCATCTTAGATTAGCATGTACATTTGTAACTTCATATGCAGTCGATATAGCCGGAACTTGATGTCCAAAGACATGTAGGTTTAATAGAATGAACAATGCCTTAAGACAAAACACTACATCAGAATTAGACTGGACAGATAGAAAGCCCTGGGATGTAGAGGTAGAAAGAGAAACAGTTTTTTTGTCTTTGATGGATAGGCTTAACCGTGTATGAAGGTAACATGGGCCGGTGAGCAAATACATCACACGGGCATGTGATTGTAATCATACTTGAACTACCATACTCCATGGAGTTGCCTTTATTTGCAATAGATGTAGCATGCAAGCAGGGGTAATGATATGTGGAAAACTGGGGAAATGGATGGATAGAGCAGGCCTAGATTTTAAAGAGGGGAAGAGAGAGAGAATGGAAGAGAGTGTGGAGAGAATTGGATGAAGAGAGGGAGAAATAGAACATCCGAAAAGAGATAGAGGGTATTAAAAAAGAGAATGAGAGAATAAGAGAAAGAGAGAGAGAGAGAGGTTTCATTCTAATATTTTACAATCTATCATAGATTGCATTTAAAGTAACTTTATGGGCTAGAACTGCACACACCACAGAGTAAGGGGTAGAGGCCAGAATGCAGGCCAGAAAGCAAAAAGTTTGCAAATCTGATCTACATGTATCCTACCACCTGTACATTATAAAATATGAATCAAGGTTGGACAAATTTGGTTCACAATGATATACTTATAATTTAATGACTTCTCAAAATGCATTAGAGAATGGATATAGGGACATGTACACATAATGTATTGGCAACCCATATCATAAAATTGATACCTCCCCAGTTTACTAGTATATTTTGAAACTTGAAATCAATGTCTGATCTAAGCAATATGGAAATCATCATGAGGGTCTTGAATGCTCAACAAAAGCATCAGTTAAAAGGAAATGGAGAGACTTGTGCAATGTCTCCTTAAACTAAACATTTTTGCGGGGAATTTGAATTTGAAGTCGAATTTATGCAAAGTGATAATCATCAAAACAATCTACAAATCTAAACAAAACATGAACTATACTGGCCTCCTGAACATGCACAATGTATGGTGGCTAAAGTGGCAATTGTGACCATTCCTCTAACCAGTGAATTCTTAAAATTTAAAATCAAGGTATGACCAAAGCAAAACGATAATCATAATGCAGACTGAAAACCAGGACTAAAAGGGCATGGAGGAACATATACATGTACATGTACAATGTTTGTTGGCTAAAGTGGCAATTGTGACCACTCCTCTCACCAGTAAATTCTTAAAATTTCAAAGCAAAATGATAATCATAATGCAGACTGAAAACCATGTAGGACTAAAAGGGAATGGAGGAACATATATAGATGTACAATGTATGGTGGCAAAAAGACGGTGAATCCGATCCTTCCTTCTCTCGATCCTCACCGTCCTCACCGTCTTATACGAGATAGCGTTCGGGGGAGACCAGGTGGTGAAGTGGCCAGCAGGCATTTTAATTTCCTGCTCAGCGAGCCCTAAACACGCCATAAATAGGATGTGATTTGCATACTTCATGATGAACCTAGCTCTATGCATCTTCTGTGGGCTAGCTCTGAGAGTAGATAGGGTAAATAGCACGGGGCAAGGTCCCTATTTAAGGGTGCTGCTGACCTTCTGTTTTTGTTGTTAGGGGGGAGGGGGGAGGGGAATGTGACATTTAAACAATCCAAAGAATTAGATGAACAACAAGATGATATACAGATTTTTTTAAATATGGTGAAGAAAAAAAATCCCCCATAGGAGAAATCTGTAGAATATTAAGGCCAATAATAATGATACATTGCCAAAATGGAGGCAGAAAACAAACAGGAGAACACATATCATGAAAAAATACAAACAATGATATTTTTACCTAACCACTTTAATAGCTATGCTTAAAGGTAAAGACCAGTTATGGCCATGCGATTGCATTGTGAAAGAAACGTGGAATCGATCAGAAAAGGTTGATCATCTAGCATCTAGCATCTGCAAGGTTCTGGAATCATCAAAATGATAAGAAATTTGGCCCATTCTTCGTAAAGTTACAAGCACTATACACAGAAAGATGTATATGGGACTTCCCTATATCTCTCACAGACCATGAGAGAAACAAATTTACCAAATATCTGAATTAGTAGGCGGTTTCCCGGGAAATTTTTATCATCATGTATTAGTCAAAACATATTCTTTCACATGATTGGTAATGAGAGCTTCCATTTCATTTTTTGAAATTGGGGCGTTTCCAATACTGGTCTTTACCTTTAATAGCTATGCTTAACTAAGAAGACCTTGCATGAAGAGTGCATTTGATCAAGGAGTACCTATGTACATGCTTTAATGTACCAGTAGTGTACAGTGTATGTCCTGTTCTAGGCTAGCTCTAGCCACTTTATTACAAAAGAGAAGAAAGAAAAAAATTATCACCAAGAGAAAGGCAAAAAAGAAGTCTACAACTTTATGACCACATTTAACTTTCTTAGGGCTGAAAGGATGTACACTCTGTGTTGAACATACCCTCATGGCTTATTGGCTCAATTTAAAGCAGATAATTTTCAAATGTAATTGTCCGCAAGATTTTCTAC